TATATATTATATATTATATATTATATTATATATTAAATTATATATTAAATTATATATTATATATTATATATTATATATTATATATAATATATTATATATAATATATTATATATTATATATTATATATATATATATATTTTTAGGGGAAGTGAAATCCCCATGTTTTTTTTGGGATGAAACTCACCATGCCTCTTCCTTTTCTTCCTCGCTGAGTTCTTCATAGTTGGCTTCCACATCTTCGCCATTCGGCTCCTAGCGGGCGGTCAACACAACCTCCTTCAAGTGCTTAACGACCCCCCAAAACAGAACCATACTCTCTAGTAAACTAACATAGCTATAGGAAACCACTATTTATAGTGAATTTTCCCATGAACAATGATGATTTTCCATAGTTATGTTAGTTTACCAGAGGGTAAGTCATTTATAACGTGACAAATTAATGTCATAACCATCCCCAAATGCTAGGTTTCTGGCATAGGGTTTACCACATTAACCCATTACATCCACTGGTTGAGAAACGAAATGTTCCCCATTTTCTGATTGGGGGAACGCGATAGACCCCAGTTTTAGACATACCCTCTGGTAATTTAACATAGCGAACTGGAAAATCACCATGCTATTAATGGGAAAATCCACTATAAATGGCCATTTCCAATAGCTATGTTAGTTTACCAGAGGGTCCTCATGAAAAATTCCTTTGGTTGTCAGCACAAACATTAAAAAACGCATGTCACTTGAAATACCCATTGTAATACCTTTAAAAATGCAAGATGTGTTTGATGAAATCCCATGTTTGTCCGTGCATAACCCAATGAAGTTGTTGAGAAAATCCCCATATGTCTGTCTTGTTAATAAAATCACATGATTTTGCGAGCATAAAGTGTCAAACCCTGGTTGTCAAAAAAAATAATGCCTCAGCCACCCTACATGTGTTTGTGTGAAAATGGGGCACCCCCGACTTCCAAAGGGTTAGAGAATAATTTTGAGATATGAAACTACACTTTTGGGGCATAATCCATTTCTGGACCCACACACCTATCGCCCGTCACAGGTTTGGCGCATAACTCGTTCTACTGCTACTGCTGCTACTACTACTGCTGCTACCACTACTACTTTTTGCTTGCTTGCTTGCTTACTTATGTACGTACTTACTTACTTACTTGCTTGCTTGCTTACTATTAACTTACTACTACTAACTTACTACTACTAACTTACCACTACTAACTTTCTACTACTAACTTACTACTACTAACTTACTACTACTAACTTACTACTACTAACTTACTACTACTTACTTACTGCTACTAACTTACTACTACTTACATACTACTACTTACTCACTACTACTGCTACTGTTACTGCTACTGCTACTGGCTACTACTGCTACTCCTACTCCTACTGCAACTGCTACTGCTACTCCTACTACTACTACCACTACTACTACCACTACTACTACCACTACTACTACCACTACTACTGCAACTACTACAACTACTACTACTACAACTACTACTACTGCTGCTACTACTACTACTACTGCTACTGCTACTGCTACTGCTACTCCTACTATTACTACTACTACCACTACTACTACTACTACTACTACTAGTACTACTACTACTACTACTCCTCCTACTCCTACTCCTACTCCTACTCCTACTCCTACTCCTACTCCTACTCCTGCTCCTGCTCCTGCTCCTGCTCCTGCTCCTGCTCCTGCTCCTGCTCCTGCTCCTGCTCCTGCTCCTGCTCCTGCTCCTGCTCCTGCTCCTGCTCCTGCTCCTGCTCCTGCTCCTCCTGCTACTGCTACTGCTACTGCTACTGCTACTGCTACTGCTACTGCTACTGCTACTGCTACTGCTACTGCTACTGCTACTACTACTACTACTACGACTACGACTACGACTACGACTACGACTCCGACTCCTACTGCTACTGCTACTGCTCCTGCTCCTACTCCTACTGCTACTGCTCCTGCTACTGCTACTGCTACTGCTACTTCACTCCTACTCCTACTCCTCCTCCTACTACTACTACTACTAGTACTACGACGACGACGACGACTACTACTACTACTACTACCCCACTATACTACAAAACCACTACTAAACAATGATTCATGGATAGCATGATAATCCCCAATATATACTTGTATACATGTATATATATATATATACATATAGATATATGGGTAGTAGTGAAATAGCATCAACCAACAAGGCTTTTGAACAAATCCACTGTTTCAAGGTGTTGAATCACCAGTACCCTCCTGTAAACGAACAAGATGTGGAAAACCCACCATAAGGCTAAATGACTGGGGAACCCAGGAACCCATTTATGGCTTTTCCACATTGATGTGAATTTACCCCAGGGTTTTTTTCACCATCAAAATCCACCTCAAGAGTCTTCACTGTCAGCTTCTGGAGCTCTCGTGCCATCCGTTCGCGCCTGGTGATTCGAAAAAACCAACCAAAGCCTGGTGATGTCACGATGGGTTCATGGTGTTTAGGCCTCAGAAATTCTCATGGGCCATGGGGGCTTCATGATGGTTTGATCTAACTGAACCAACCAGGTGAGGATTTCTTCGCAACAAACACGGTGGTTTTTCACCAAGCACAATGGGGAGATTTCACCTGCAAAGTGAGGATGGATTCTTGCGGTGTGGTGGACCCAAGGTAAAAGCGTGAAACAAACAGATCATATATCATATATGACTCGTAGCAATCCTATGGCTAGTTCCATATATCCTATATCATATAACATAAAAGTGTCCATATTATGGCTAGTTCACATGAATCATAACAATCCTCATGACATATGACATCTGGTAACAGCTTGGCTTGTCTTAAAATGAGGTACCCCGTCAATCCTATGGTTTAACACCTTACAGTGTTCCCTTTATATAGATTGCTCGAAAATGTGAGGTCAAAAACCCAGAATTTGTGGTGTCACGTTTATGATCCATCAACCATCATTTATCAATCAAATCCCCATATGTTTGGTGCTTCTTCAGGCCCCAATTTGAATTCATAGATGGATGGTTAAAATCATGTGAGCCATGGTCAATATTATAAATCCCTATGAACCATTGGATGGTTATTATAGCCCCGTTTTTAATGGTTATTAACCATGAGTATTGACCATAGCTCATGTCAAATTCCCACAACACAAAACTCATCACCAGAGTCAGCTCTTCGCGACAACTCAACGGACTGCCACAACCCAAAAGCGGCGCACTGCTCGGTGCACTCCGCAATTTTACCTACGGCAGATTCCGATGATTTCGAGGCAGATCGGATTGTTTCTTAAGTGACTGTGAGATATGGATGGCCATGACTATTATGACGTGGATGATAATTAAAATAGTCATTTCATAGTCAGCAAAGGGATCTGGGATCATGGATATCTGAAGCAATGGATAACATAAATAATATGAATAATCGTCATAATCATCAATATGGGATCTGTGACTATGGAATATCCATAGGATTGGATCGATCCGGGATCTGGGATCCAATGGGATAACAATATGGAATATTCATAGGATGATTAATAGGATTAATAGGATGATTGTCTATTATTAGCCATTCTTCATGGGATATGAATAGGATGATTAATAGGATTAATAGGATGGTTGTACGATTTGGTGGGATGATTCTGGCAGATACCCTCCGGTAACGTGGCTGAGAAAAGAATCGAACCAAATGGGGCATGTTAGGTCCCAAAACAAATGGGGACTTGCGGTCACTCAATTCGTCACTATCTATTACCCTCTGGTAAACTAATGTAACTATGGAAAATCACCATTTTTGATGGGTAAATCAACTATAAATTGCCATGTTCAATAGCTTTTTGTTTGTTTACCAGAGGGTATCAACTAGACCGACCAACTAGCGACTGGTTTTTGTACTGTAGTCATGGCGCTCCCGTTGCACCTTTAGGGCACAAATAACTCTCAAAAAGCAGAAATTTAGTCATTGAACTCTTCCATATTTATGTGGTAAATCCAATAGTAAACCTACCATTTGGGATCATTCATACCACCCGTTTTGTTGGAAATGTTGGAAATGGTTGATTCTTATTGGTTTACCGCATTTTTTTGTTGCCGAAGTAAAGCAGAAGAACAAAAATGGAAAAACAAATGAATCTAGATGAATATCACAAAGAACACAAAGTGGAGATGTTAGCCGCAGAATGAAAGTCACGCAGACAACGATGGGTAGATGCGATAGACCCATTTAAGCAGCGACAATGAGGAGCTGAACCAACAAGACACAAAAGGAGGGTCAACCACAATCAACCCTTGTTTTTGGGACGTATACACTAGGTACATGACACAATGCCCCAGAAAAAACAAAAAAAAACAACAGGAGGTGACAACTGGTGGATCAGAAGCAAGGTACGCAGAAAAGTGGTACGCTCAAACCCGAATTCTCAGGCTGCAACCTCCCTAGAACGCGGATCTCACGGGCTGATATTTTCCATGTCTGTTTGTGGACATTATCTCCAGGAACATCATCAACTATAGATATAGAACTGATATAAAATTGTATAACTGATCAGGAACCCCCTAGTCAACCCAATATCACGAACTTGGACTTCTAAAGCCACCAACTTTATTCGATTCCCAACGGCAACGCCCCGCCATCCAACTCGTTGATGTCGTCGCTGTGTTTCTTCTTTTCCTGTGCATTGGGTGAGCCGCCTATCCCCTTTTGCTTGGAAAATCAGGAGCTGGGCTCAATAGAACCAGAGGAGTGTTGGAGATATGTCTGCATAAATCCGTTTGTTTATCTTTTGTTGGACATTTCAACATGTCCATCAAACATACAACGAGCCCACTTTAAGCTTTAAAACCATCTTTTTTTGCCCGTCGGTTTACGTGCTTATAGCTCAACACTCACCCAAATTCAGCAACCATTGGGGCAACTTGCACTTCGCCCCAAAACAAAGCCTATAGATGCCTATTTTTTGCCTAGCTGTTTCCATAGTCATGGGGGTAGCCCTAGTTCTCCATGTTTGTCGACAGGATTTTCCACTAGTCACCATCCAGCGAGCTTGGGGTACCATGACTGATGGCTTCAACCACCCCGGACGTGACTAGGGATCTGCGATCTCACGACGCATGGTGGGTTTTTTAAACGAAGATGGACATCTGGATGTTTCTGGGGACCAATATCATGGGATTTCAATCTTCCAAGATCTTCCAAGATCTGGTACTTTTCTTTGGGAAAGAATAAAACTCGTGTTACAACATCTTCCAGACTTCTTTCCATGGAAAATTCATGAACCACACATGCCTCAACCAGCTGCTGCTTGGAAGATCGACTTTCTTCTTGCAAAGTCTCCACCTGGACCCATGGCACGCTCACCCCTCCATTCACCACCGGATGGCTTGTTTTGTTTGGTTTTTCTGGGGTTAAAAGATATTTACCCTCTGGTAAAGTTCGCGAACTGGAAAATCATCATTTTTAATGGGTAAATCAACTATAAATGGCCATTTTCAATAGCTATGCTAAATACCAGAGGGTAAAAAAAAAGACAGAGGGTCTCAGAAAGCTTACTCCACAATGATCATGATCATGGTCAAAGCTACCCATCGAAGCGAGTTTCCTCCTCGAAAAAACTCAGGAACAAATCCAGTTGGGGAAGTCAACCACGGGCAAGAAACACCACCAAACCAATACCTCGTTCTGCGAATGAAGCGCCATTGAAGTTTCATATATCCCCTACATCCACAGGGCCACAGGACAATGTGGATTTGAAGGATCAACCAACTGGGCTCATTCCACACATGGATTTCACCAGGTTTCGTTTTGATCCACCCCAAATCCTCAAGCGAATGGCGTCTTTCTTGATGGGAGAGCCATTGGTTTTTGGGGCAACCATTAATCTTCAGAAACACATCTTCATTCAAAATCCAGAGATGCATTATAGTCTCAGAGTCCTATATCAAAATCCCCAAAGAAAGTCCCCCAGAAACTCCCAGAAATTGCAGGGGTCTCTTTCTTCGGTCAGCCGTGCCCGTGCCATCCACCTGCGCGTTCAGCTCTTGGCTCTTCTCTTGCAACCGAGCACCTCAGCTCTGCAGTTTTTCAAGGGGATGCCCTGGATTGGACCATGAGTTGAGATGGGAACCGGATGACCCTATAAAAACATGGGCTGAAATCCTATGAAAACATGGCTATGGGTTAAAAACCCTAGTATATACCTAGGGTTTACCCAAAAATAGCTGGTGTTTATGGATGTTCATCCCACTCAAATTCACCACCGATGGGTCAACAAAACCCACTCCCATATGACACGAGTCGTATGACCAGTTTTTCGTCCGTGGGGATCATCCCAGTGATCAAGGCATCCCCAAAAAAAAAAGCCCTGCAAGCCCCTATCAATCAACTATCAATCAACTATCAGCCTTATCTCCAGATCCAAAAAGATGTTTGGTCAACGGGAAATGTCTCCGGAAATGGGGGAAAAATCCCCTGAGCTCCTTACGGCGGCTGGACAAGGACTCCTTTCGACTGGCAACTGCCAGGGATTCCATGGTAATCATGGGATCCATGGAGTGGGATATAAGTTACCGGGTAAATGGGGTTTACCATAGGAAAATGGAGGTTTTAATGGGAAAACCATAGGAAAACCATAGGAAAATGGAGATTTACCCTCTGGTAAACTAACATAACTATGGAAAATCACAATTTTTAATGGGTAAATCCATTATTTCTATGGCCATTTTCAGCAAACCGTTAAATTACCAGAGGGTACCAAGGTTTCTGGAGCTTCATGGTCGTCCATCCCAAAATGGGAATCCAAACATAGCTATACAGATCCCGCTGAGACCTGATTGATGACGATCATCCAATATGTGTACTGTATATAATCTATCTTTTGAACATGGCACATGCATTTCATTGTCTGTCTGTGGTCTATGTCAGAAAAAGATAATGATTCGGCTATGATCATGTTGTGATTGAAGAAAAGAACAGCAGGGTGCCCCCACCAGGGCTTCAAAAATCACCCGGATTTCCGCTGTGAGCCAAGGCCTGATTGTTTATTCAAAAAAAATGGACCACTTCCTGCAGGATATTTTTGGCCCCAAGTTGCCAAAGAAAAGTAGCTGAATTCTATGCTTTCTGGGAGATATAACTAATTATAGCTAATGTCAATGGATTGGTTTAAGGGGAAATCTACAGGAAACCATGGTTTTTACCATCAAATATAGGGGGTTCCTGTAAATTTTCCCATCATCCAATTCTATGATAATGGGGTTTGTAAACCAACAAACAGAACTGGGGGGCACCATCCTGCCGTGAGGAAATGTGTCGTTGAAGGCTGGTCCTGCTCCGCTCCGAACTGACGATCGAAGTCGTCGATTTCCTTCAGGATCTTATCGATCTTGCCTGCAACTCAACTTTGGGAGGCAAGAAATGGATACACGATATATCAATGATTATCAATGGATTATGATGTATAATACTAAATGATTTATCAATGGATTACAATGGGAAATCTACATCAAACCAGGGTTGCTACCCTCAAATATGTTTAGCTTTTCCGATGTACCCTTGATCAACTCTAGGAAATATACAGGGATTGCTATTGATCTTTGATATTGAAACAATAGCAGAGGCACCACGCTGCAGCTCAAGGATGTTCTTGTATTGTCTTTATAAACATGACCTATCGGAGAGATGGATCACTCCATAGTCATCCAGAAAACTATACTGATCCCTCAAACACAGTAGTGTGAAATGTTCAAAATACAATGTCCTCAACTATGCAAAATGTATCCATTTTTTGCGGGGTCGTAGGTAACATGAAAGCAGTTGCTTGAGAATAATGCGGGTTGCACATTTTTTTAATAGACCAAACAGATCCAAATTGATCCAAAAGGTGCATATCACAAATCAACTATGACGGTTCCAAAGTGTTACAGATGTGCAAGATCTCTTGCTCTAGCGAATGTGTAGGGTAAAAACCGCTTGCCAAGCATTTGCGAACGCATTCCGAAAGTGCTGGCTTTCAAATCAGACCGTTCAGACGGCTAACCAAAAATGTTTGCCCAAAACTGTGGGCCAAAGGTAGTCAGGCAGTTGAAGATGTTGAAGGGAACAAATGTTTGGGCCCATTGATTTCATTCACCCCTGACAGCCCCGGCCCCAAGCATCAGAATCAGCAGAATTCACCAGCCAATGATGTGGATGACCGAAGTCCCACGAATCCAACGAAGAAATTGGAAAGTCAAGCAATCTTCAGCTGACATGGTTGATCCTTGTTGATGCTTGTTTAGAACCCCTATAAATCAACAACAGAACAATCTATTGCTCTTAAATGTCCCATTCACTGCTGGCCAAATCCCCAATGTTTGCAACTGCAACTACAGTAATCAATCAGATTACAATTTTCTAAGTGTCAAAAGCCATACTTGACGGTTGAAAACCCTATAAATCACCATCTTTACCAACATGTGTTTGGTTCATATCCAATAATTTCCTGTAATTTCCCCGAAAAAAAATCTCCAAGTACCCTATGATTCAACTTTAGATTTGGGAGTTTCTTTGGGGAATCCCCCAAGTCATCATGGTTGTTTCACCTTGCACATCTGCTTCAATCTTCTTCAGCTCAGCTATCTTCTCCTGCCCAGAACAGCTTTCTTGGCTCTTCAGCTGTTCAAAACGAACGGTAAAACAGGCAAAAAAATCAAGAAAAGCTGGGGTTGAAACAGAAGAAAACTCATATGAGGATCGAATCTTGGTCGAGTCCAAGAATTGTGGGTTCAAAAACCACCATAGGTTGGAGAAAACCGCCATAAAACGGTGGTTCTCCAAGCAACAAATTTAGGGCAGTGTCGGGATGCAACTATCCAAACTTGATGGACAAATCCGACAGCGGTCGATTCAAAATCAGCATTCCATGGTCATAATTGGTCATAATCCAGATATTCAAAGATCCCAGATATTCATGTATGTATATATATATACAAAATTATACTATATGTATATATATATATCATATATCATAGTTATATTATATATATAATTATATATTATATATATATATACATTATATTATATATATATATATTATTATATATATATTATATTATATATATTATATTATATTATATATATATATATCTTATTTTATATATATATATATTACAGTATATTATATATATATATTCCATATCTTTGTTGGCGGAATGCCCAAAATTCTGTTGGGTGCCTAAAATCGCCTCGCGCACTGAGAAGCCCATTCCGCCACCCGACTTCCACCTTGTAGCGACGTTGCTCCTGAAGCGACGTAGCCATCTAAACTGGGGGTTTACCATAGGGAAATGGAGGTTTTAATGGGAAAACCATAGGAAAACCATAGGAAAATGGAGGTTTTAATGGGAAAACTATAGGAAAACCATAGGAAAATGGAGGTTTACCCTCTGGTAAAGATACAAAAAACTATGGAAAGATCCACCATGCTATTAATGGGGAAATCAACTATTTCGACTGGGCCATTCTCAATAGCTATGTTAGTCATTACCAGAGGGTAGTCCGTCATAGTTAGCCATGACAGTTTAATCGGCTAAAGTTTCCAACCTTTGGTTTCCGGAAAAGTATAATATAGCCAGTAATTTAACAGTTTGCCATTGAAAATGGTCCATTTGTCATTGATAAAAACCTATTCAAATGGTGATTTTCCATAGTTATGTTACCAGCTGGTAATTTAACATAGCTATTGAAAATGGCCATTGATAGTTGATTTACCCATTAAAACTTGTGATTTTCCATAGTTATGTTCGTTTACCCGAGGGTAAAAGATCATCGTCCGGTGGCGGGGAAACCGGGAAACCACGGTCGGCGCGACGATGTGATGCGGCGTCTGGTCTTCACCGAAAAAAGAGATGGCTCTGTCGATGGGATCTCCCCCAAACTTGTCATTTTACTGGAGAAAATGACCATAGGCCATGGAATTTTGGGGCACAGACCCAAAAACCTCTGGATTGATGATCAGGGCCGGCAAGTTACCCTTTTGGCCATAGCACATGGCAACATCTGATCCGTGCTCCAAATCGGATAAAGGCGATTTTTTGGCTGGAACCCTATATGGAAGCTCAAGCCGGATTTATGTACTTGTAAGATGAGTATAAGTTTTAAATCCCTTGTTTTGAGGTTCCATGTTAAATTGCAAGGGGGTAGAACCGACCAACCAAGAATCAGGATATTTACTATTGGCCGTGCGCAAGCATTTCGGAACCACTAGGCCACCAGTTGCGTTGGTTTGTCGAAAATTGTGGCAAAGCTGCATGCCATCCATTGGTTGAAACATTATAAATCAGTGTTCCATTGGTTAAGTTAAACTGTTAAACATGACAAATCATCCTACTTACATGGCCACAACATTAGGCCAGACAACTATGAACAACAGCTTGTGTCCCCGTTGAAGCGTCCGCAGGTTCTGCATTCTGCGAAGTGCAATGCCCTTGATACCCGGAAATCGGTGTCTCACGACTGGTGAAATTTCAGTCGCTTGATTTCATGTAAAAAATTACTCAAAAAATGACACACTGTTTTTTTTCATCACCTACTTTAAGTCCTCCCCATTTTTAGTTGTCTATTCCTCATCCCCAGCCACTGGACCAAAAAAGCCATGACCCGCCGACCGGCTCCTCTACAATGGAACTCTTTGCATTCTCCAGCTGCGTTTTCAGCTCTGAATGCTTTTTATTTCGCACTTCCTCAGTGGGGGGTGGTTCTCCATGGAGACGGTCATTGGAGGTGTCCATTTCTTTCGTGGGGGTAGCCCTAGTTATACATTTTTGGTGGGTTTGGGATGCCATGCCCATAGGGATGTTCCATGAAAACCACCCATCCCCCTTGGGACCTCACAAGCGATGTCCCAGCTGTCCCATCTCCTTTTTCTGACCCAAAACTGGCAAAACTCCCAAATCACGATACCCACATAGCCGGCCTGGTAAACGTTGACATAACTATATAACATCACCATTTTTACTGCTATGAATGGGAAAATCCACTATTTCTATGGGGGATTTTCTACATTTTTCTACAGCTATGTAAACGTTTACCAGAGGGTACCCCATAGTTTGACATCCAACCGTCACGCAGTGACCGTCACAACCAGTGACCCAGCCTCTCCACCCTGTTCCACCAAGCTACAGCCTGCTGACGGCGAGCTTCTTCCTGGTCGTTGAGCCTCGATCATCTGATCATATCTCATCCATCATCGAAAACCTATTCAAATTGCCATCTTGATGGGATTACCCTCTGGTAAACGTTGACATAACTATGGAAAATCACAAATTTTAATGGGAAAACTCACTATAAATGGCCATGTTCAATAGCTATGTTAAATTACCAGTATCAGAAGGTTCCCTATTCAAATTGCCATTTGTGTTTTTGCTCCCTATTTTCAGACACACCGATAAAAGACCCGCAGAATGGTGATGTGAAGCCTGGAAGCCCGAGATATGAAAAATCTGACGGCAGTTCGATCGTCCTATCCTTGCACTCCCAAAATCTCATCCTCCCAATATCAAATACCAAAAATCAATAGATCCATATAGATCCAATACTATACCTAGGTGTCTCTGGTAAACGTTTACATAACTATGGAAAATCGCCATTTTAAACGGGAAAACTCGTTATTTCGACTGGGCCATTTTCAATAGCTTTTTGTATGTTTACCAGGCCGGGTATAGTGTCTTATTCTTCTTGGAGGTCATTTGGCCAATTTCTCCCAGTGGCTTCGCTTGTGAGGCGGCTTCTTCATTCCTAGGAAGGAGCTGCAGGTTCGGCCATGAGGTCGCGATATGTACCAGCGACCCAATCATCAGCTTTGATCCACAAGTTGGATCCTGAAAACATCAGAAATTGGGATCAAACAAATCTGGTTGCTGGTAAACTAACCATCTTGAAAAATGATGGAGTTCGTCAATGGGAAGGATGACATCCCATATTATGGAAAATTAAACATGTTATAGGAGTTCGTCAATGGGAAGGATGACATCCATTCATATGAAATGGTGGGTTTAACATGGTTTAACCATCTTGAAAAATATGAAAGTCAATATGGAAAATTAATGAACATAATCCAAATGTTTGAAACCACCAACCAGAAATTCATCATGGACCAACACGCTGCCCCGCTGCCCAAAACCCATGGATCGTGAACCGATGAAACCCCTCTGATGGCCCCATTCATCCTATCGATGCACGCTCCACCCTTTGGTTTCCAGAAAAGTATCATTGCTTGCCTCCAGTAAACTAACATAGCTATGGAAAATGGCCCAGTTAGTTCGATGATTTACATATTCAAATGGTGATGTTCCCTAGCGAACTGTTAGTTTACCAGAGGATAATCCCGGAAAGGGAGCTCTGTATTTCGAGCGGCTCTCCCCAAAAACTAACCAGTAAATAAGGCTGGGCCCAGCCGTCCAAAAACAACCTGGTGTTTTTTATTGCATCTATCACCCGGCCAAAAATCAGCGCTGAGTTACCAAATGGTCATGTCATCATGGTTTCCCTTAACTTGGATTTGCTTAAGGTGTCCCCAAAAAATAAAAAATATTCACTATAGATTCCCCACATCATGGATTTTCCATTGGGAAATAAAAAATTTAAGGTGTTCCCTGAAAAGTCGACCATGTTTTCATGGCATACCCTAAAGAAAACTGGAAATCGTTGCCGGCGAAATCATGGTTTTGGCTCATGAAAAAAACACACTTCTGGTTGCTGAAAAAAACCTCGAGTCGCTTTTTATTGCTGAAATCCGCATATGAGCCATGCTCAAAAGATGACATATGGGGTATGGTCATCCATCCCAGAATGGGAATCCTTATCAGATCATGGCTACACAGTTGTGGACATGGTATGTCATTCGGCTTTTGATACTGGCTCACATATTTTATGTTCAAATGGATGAAATGTTCTCCTTCGATGAAGCCAATTGGGCCGATGTTCATATCTTTTACCCGGCCTGGTGAACATACAAAAAGCAATGGAAAATGGCTATAGAAATAGTGGATTTTCCCATTAAGAATGGTGATTTTCCGTTGCTATGTTAGTTCACCAGAGGGTAACCAGCAAAAATCAAGTCCCCACTTTCCAAGTCGACCAAGTGGCTGCAATTCTTCGCACTGCGCCTGCAACTTACTCAAGCGCTTCTGACCTGGCTGGCATGATCATGTGGTGTGGTGGAATCCACCACTATAGTTTATGAGCCATTATACATCATATGATATGAGGAATGGCTGGCATTTATGATACTATTATTTTCCTGGTGCTTCATTTTGCTTCTCTGATATGTGGAAATCCATTATTTGGCTGTTACAAGGGGGGGAATGTCCTAAATCATATCATATACCTCCATTGTACCCCCACAATATTTTGTTTAAGAAAAAAAGATCACATGATCACACTATCTAGTTCAATAGTTGATACTTCCATTTAGCCAGCATCTACTGTTCACATCTCCCCTATATATCATCTAGCGTGTCCACAAATCACAAAAATATGCCAATCTGTCGATGATTCCGCATTACATATATATACATCTCTACCCCAATTATTGCGCCCTCGAAAATTAACCACTCAACCATGGTTTCAGATGAACAGTGTCCCTCAAACCAGCCCAATCATACCCCCATTTTGTCCCCACTTGTCATATGATCATTCCCATCAGTTGTCATATGATCATTCAGTCTATCCCATTATACAATATATATATATTATAGATTCATTAGATTTCCATTAAAAGAACAAAAAAAGTTTTGGTTGTAGCGTCATACCCTCATAATTCCCCACATGACCCATCCCTATGTATTCTCCCATCGTACACCCATTATGCACCCGTCATGCACCCACCATACACCGAATGAAACCCCCCTTTAATTCACCTAGTTACCCTCCAGTGAAGTAACATGGCTATGGAAAATGGCCCATTTATTGTATCTGTAGATGATTTGCATATTGAAACTCTTGATTTTCCAGTTCGCAAACTGTTAGACTACCGGAGAATAGGCTTGGAATGGCTTCAGGCCCACAGCCCAACGAAATGCTGGATTCCCCCATTGGTAAAGCGAAAATATCACCGATTCAACAAAGCCATGGCTTGCTGTAAAATCCCGTCATTTACTTCGGTGATTTTCCCAGCAAACCTCCATTGATATCGGAATATCATATAACGATTCTGATAGTTATCCAGCTTTATATTGAAATTCGAAAAAAAGACCCATGATATCAATCATTCTATGATAGTTTATAAAAATTCTGATAGTGATCGGAAATTCCATTCAATCCCAATAAAAATAGTTAACCCATGGTATGAAAAAAAAATTCTGCAGCGAGTCGCGTTCTTCCTCCTCCTTCTCCAACTTCTCCGGCAGCTCTGACTGTTGCTCCACCAGGGCCTTTCGATGATCAGCCCAGAGGAATAGTCGGTGGACATTGATCTATGGAAAATAGCGGCTGGGGCCGGTATGAAAGATAGCTCACTTGCCTGAAAAAAGTGGCTGAATTCTATGGTTTCTGGTATAACGGACCAGTTCATGGGGTTATTTCCATCAACAAACATATCTGGGGAGCACTATCCTGTATGGAGTTGATCAGTTAAAATTGGATGTGTCCAAGAATTGGAAACATCCATCCATCCAATAACCGGATATCTGTTGAAGATTGAACATTCCCCACCAAGACAGGAGTATACAGTATACATGAGTATATGGGTTTTAGCTGAGTTGATCGAAACAAAATGGAATGTTCAACTACAAAGAATGAGTTATTTATATCCCTGGAAAATAATGCTGCAGAATCAAAACTGAATAGTCGGATTAGAAACTTCGAGCATTTCATGTGAAGGTCTCCGGGTGAATCCTTCGGCTCACTTTCTCTGATCCACAAAATGGTCGGACTACGCATGGCAGGGGCTCCCCAAATCCATCGGACTCCGAAAGCAATCAACGGAGATCATGTGTAGCTGCGAGTCGACCATTTCTGAAGCAGACCATTTTTTGGGGACAAGAACTCTCCGCACCTCCCGTTGTTTGCTCATTTCCGCAGAACTGGAAGTCAAACTGCCCATCTGCACCTCAGATGCCGATGGAGGATTCCTCTCAAATCACCCCTCCAACTGGCTCCCAAAAAGGAAAATGGTGACAAATTCAGCCCCAATACCAACAGTTCTCAAAGAACTTCAGAAAGACCCACTGTTTTTTTCGTGTCAAAAGCCTCAGGCCAGCGAATCCCATCGCAAGTCCAGAACTCTGGTCTGAAATTCACAGGCCCTTCACTTAAAAGGATGGCACTGGAAACCTTTTGACATGTATACTGGTTGGTGGTTGACCTACCCCTCTGAAAAATATGAGCTCGTCAGTTGGGGTTGGGATGACATCCCATATATGAAATGGAAAATGTTCAAAAATGTTTGAAACCACCAACCAGATAATATACTATTATCCCATATAACTATGGAAAATCACCATTTTTAATGGGAAAATCACCATATAACTATCAAAAATATGATTTCCCAGCAAAAATGTTGGACAAATCCTCGAGGCCGCGCCAATTCACGAAAACCCCCTCAGCTCGGCACTTGCAAACCTTGCTCGGCAAGCTGTGCGGTGGGGGACATGCGTTCTATCTCATGAGGCTGCGTTTGTCTTATTGTGTATGTATTTGTTTGCTTTTTTATGCGAAATATTATATTACATACATACTTAACTATTAGATGATTGGGAGACTCTACTGGATAGTTGAATAGACATGTTTCGGAATGTGTATGCTAGATTGTGGAGTGAATATAATGCGTATAGTACACTTCTAGACTGCATATACGTATGGGCGTATAATGTTTTAGTAGTATATGGATCAACCAATTACCTGCAACTTCCCAACAACTAGCCTAGTGCGTTAGTGGCTTGGTGGGTTTAGATAGAAGATACCCTCTGGTTATTTAACAGTTCGCCATGGGAAATGGCCCTAATCGAAATAGATGGTTTACATTGGTTTACCGTTCTTAAAAATGGGTGGATCTTTCCATGGCAAACTGTTAAATAACCAGAAGATATTTACCAATGTTTGCCATGTTGATCGGTTGGGATGGAGAAATCCTCCTTGTACAGCAGTGGTCACGAAGGAAGGAGAAACCCATAGAAAAATGGAGGTTTTAATGGGAAAACCATAGGAAAACCATAGGAAAATGGAGGTTTACCCCTACTTCTCCAATTGAAAATGAACCAAACATGGTTGATTATCCAACTTCCCCTCTGGTAAACGTTTACATGACTATGGAAAATCACCATGCTATTAATGGCTAAATCAACTATTTCGACTGGGCCAGTTTCAATAGCTTTCTGTTTGTTTACCAGGGGTAAGTACCCAGAAAGCGTTTCCAAAGGTCTGGCCCAGAAACCCTCTCCGCAGCATGGGACCCTGCGTGGCAGTGGGGCAAAACCCTGGTACCCCTGTAGTTCACATCAAAATAGCTGGGATTTATGGATGTTCATCCCACTAAAAATGCTATTAATAGGTATTGATCCATCCCTCATTTCGGTCCCAAACCGGTCCCAACCATCTGCATCTGAAATGGCGGCCGAGGAGCTCAAGGCTTTAATTCTGGCCCTCAACAGTTGCCTTTTCGTCCGCCTAAGGATCTCCGCTGCACTCCGGAGTTTTGTGGGCAAGCCATCAGCCCTTCTGAAAACTGAGGCTTACAGCTCCAAATCCATCAGTGGAAAGAGGACATTGATGAACTCTGCTACCACCCAACAACTCCAGAGTTTGGGTTAGCTCCCGAAAGTCCAGAATTTTCCTGTGGGCTTTTGGGTCAACCGGTCAAGTTTCAAAGGCGTCACCTTCCCAGCTGAATCCTCGACCCATCGGTCAACCAGCTGGCCATGGAGATACAACCGTTGCAATGACTTCTTGGAGATTTCAACGTGTGCGATACATCATATCTGGTTGGTGGTTGACCTAGCCCTCAGTTGGGATGATTTTCCATTTCCAGCTGAATGGGAAAGTCATAATCTAAATTCCATGGTTCCAGTCACCACCAACCTGATATAAATGTCTATAAATAATGAGGGTTTTTGATCATGTTATGTGTGTATATACTGTATATCCTATGATATCCCCATATATATATATATGAATGTGCCATGGTCAAGTCTGCATGGGATTTTTTAGCGTCTGATGCTGATGCTCGTCCCATCCCCAGAAATATCCGAACATCATCAGTGGCCAGTGGCGACTTTTTTGGAAAACATGTCCCATCCCCCAGTGCTACCATCTGGTTATGACATTCACACTTCGCCATGGAAAATCCACCCATTTTTAAGAACGGTAAACCATCTATCAATGGGCCATCAACAAACCATGGCTATGTAACAAATAACCAGATGCTATCCTTTTGAAAACTATTCCCATCAGAAGTTTCGATGGCACAGCCATACCCCAGGCCAGGACCCACACCTATCTCCTTTGAGGTTATCGACCTCCTGGCGCCGAGTTGCTGAAGCTGTCGATGAGTTGTGGCCAATTCAGTAATATCATTGGCTTGGTTTAAGGGAAAATCTACAGGAAAGCAGGGTTTTTACCATCAAATATAGGGCTTTCCTGTAAATGTTCCCATCATCCAATTCTATGATAATATTAATATTCATATGATTTATCTATGTAGCTATGAAAAATAGATCCAAAAATGTTGTTTTCCATATAGCAAACTGTGAAATTAGCACAGGGTAGTTGTGATCATCCCACTATGAATGGAATCCAAACATAATGGCTGTGTAAATCCCTACCATGATTAATATGGCGGTATTAATTGGGCTGTAATAGATAGAATGATGGGTATAGAATGATGGATAGAATGATGGATAGAATGGACCAAATCAAAACAAACCATTGATGGTTGATGCCTAGCCCGAGCCCGCGAAAAACTGGCGGCCTTGGACCAACTTTGCACTTCACCCACCCCGTTGGATGTGTGTCCCCGCATCGCTGGTGGCTTGATAATTAATCCATTAGTTTCTGTTGGTTAAAACCTCCACCTCTCCATTGCGACAAAAATCCTTCTGAACTACTGTTTGTTCATGAAATCCCAGTCCATTGGTCAAATCCCCTCAGACTCCCTTCAAAAACAAAACAGTCCGAGTTTCTTGTTGCTTCAAGTCCGAGTCCCCATTTTCGTGGCGTCATGTAGGTATTTTCTCATGACGTCCCCTCTTTTTGGAGCAGTGGCGGCTCCTTCTTTCCCGCGGACTTCTCCTGAGATGGGAAGGTGCCGGCAGAGAGCGTCAAAACATGGAGAAAAAATGGGATTTTCACTGGGATTTCCAGTGTTTTTTTTCTTGTCTAGTCGTTGATGGGGATTCCCAGTCATGGATTATGATAAACCCCCAACATGTGGGGTAGTCTAACTCCATGCACCAACTAGGGTTTTTGAAGCTCCTATATGATTGGAGTTGCTAACGAGTGGCGGCAATCGGAATCGGGTTTCTCAAAAATGGGGCATGGCATCTTGATATATCTTGATGGCATAGAGGATAAACCAAGCGACCCAAGGAATCAGGCGGCTTGATGATCTCATGGCAAAAAGCTCCGTCCACCCATCTCCCAAAAATAAAAAATGGTCAAGTGGCTACGGGACAAAATTGGTTACATAGTTGGATGATATCAAAGATCAGATTTTGATCTGAGGTTTTTCGCCTGAAATTCTAAGCCATACCCAAGTGGTTTGTCTCATTCCAGCATGGAAAGGTTCCAATCCTCAACTTCAGTTGATCCAGATAGCTCAAGTGACTCAAAACTTCTTTATGAAATCTGTGGTTTTTTTTCGGGAATATGACTATAGTATACTATAGTTAATAGGGTGTATACACCAACTTATACCTGGCGAAAAGCCCACCTAGGGATCTAGGTGTCTTAGAGTTCAGAGCCCCCCATCGACCCCATCGACCGCGCGGCACCTTTTCCGTGGGTTTCTTCTCTTCTTCTTCTTCATCCTACGAGATTCAACAAAGCACAAAAGGCGAATTGTGTATATATAATTCCATGTGGTACCTGAAAAGGTTGGGAAAACCCAAAATCTGAGTGAGAAAGTCATGTTCCCCAGTGGTGTATATAATATATTATTATATTATCATATTATTTTACTATTATATTATTATATTATTACGTATATATAATATACAGATTTCAATAGCCATAAATTGGAGACCCCAACCAAAGCCATGACGGTGAAGCTCGTGGCCAACTAGCTATCCGCCCAGAAGTCTTGGGTGGTCTTGAGAGGCTGTACAGGGCTGTACAGAACTAAGCTCATCCCAAAAAAGGTCATGGAAATGGAGTTTTCATGGAAAAAAACGACTTGTTTGATGTCTATGTTCTAATTGTATGATGTCTATGTTCTAGTTGGTTGATGTCTAGTTTGGTTTGAAACCTAAATTTAATATATACCCTGAATCACCTATCTCACCTTCCACTATTTTTCTGGCGGTTTGACTGTCACTTAGGTATCACTACAAGTCTATCCAAACAAGTGGAAAAGATGTGGGGAGGAGGGATCATCAAAAGAGCTGTTGCTTCCCCATTCGCATGGAATTTCTGAGAGATTGAACCATAACCATCCGAAACCACCAGGAAACTTTGGAGCAGCACTCGCCAGATCGACTTCAAACACCACGCCAGATCGACTGCCCGGAAGCATGTGCCGGGACCACCAGGATGTCTGTTTTGCAGGGTCGAGCCTTTTTAGTGGCAAAAGATGGCAAAAGTACCTGTCTAGGACCATTCACGAGTAGCAAGTCTAAAGCAATCCCAGCCTCCCTGACCAAAACATAAAGCATTCAGCTTCAACCTTGGAAATTTCCTCAGTACCTTGTGGGGTCATCATAGACCCAACATCGCAAGCTGTCTCCTCGTCTTTCTCATCATCATCTTCATCTTCCTCCTGCACTTCGCCCAGTGGAACACACCCAATGGGCCTCACGGCTATGGATTGCCAGGGAAACGGCTTACCTTGGAACTTGGTGAATCCGAAGTTCCCCTAGGCAGCTGATGAACTTCGCTCTGGATCAAGCTGGTGAAATGGTCTCGGCCCAGGAAACCCATCTGTGTTCAAGGTCTTAACCCAGAAATCTCAAGTTGTGATTTTTACTGGTTTGCACACAAAAAAACAATAATTATCACCCACATTAAAATCCCATTGAATCCCCGTTCTTGTTGGTCAAATCACCATGTGACTTCATGGTTTGCAGGGAAAACGTCCACTATTTTCCTCCTTCTTTTCCTCTTCTTCGGCCTCCTGGTGATCGAAGAATTCGGCAGTGGAACAAAGAAGGACACGAGAAATGTCCCCCACAGTTCTGGCTGCTTAAGAGCAGGATTCCCAATTTATGATTTAAATATAAACTGGTTGGTGGTTGACCTACCCCTCTGAAAAATGATGGAGCTCGTCAGTTGGGATCATGACATTCCCAAGATATGGAAAGTCATAAAATTCCATGGTTCCAGTCACCACCAAGCAGTTATGGTTTTTTTTCTTTAGCTATTCTTGATGATCATTGATTGCTAATGGAACATTCATAGGATGATTATAGCAATCAATGTTAATCAATTGAAATGGATTATTTAATGGAACATTCATATGATTATGGAATATTCATGGGATATTCATGGGATTTTCATAGTAAAGGCTCCCTTAAAAATGACCAAAAAAAGGCCTAACGGATCCCACGGATCCAAAAAGGATCCCACGGATCCCATGACGGGGACACAAGCAGTGGACACAAAGTCGATCGTCAAAGATCTGTATATATATAATTATATATAATCATGTATAATTATAAATATATATACAATATGGATATGTTTTCTATTGTTTTCTTATTTTTTTACAGTGGCGCGTTTTCACCCGCTGTATTGTGGTTGACGCTTTCGGACCACAGATGAGTCCTCCGAAACCTCATCCTCTTCATCCTTTTTGCCTTGGATGCCACAAATGCCACCAATTCCACATCGGAACGCTCCAGCTGAACTCTATCCACGACATGCCAAACTCTAACCTTGGGAAATGTGCCCTTGAAAACCAAAATTGATTTGAAATGTGTATGAGCATTTGATGGTTTTCAGTTACATCAATTAAGATAGAGCATCTATCCCAGCTGCTTCGCTTGCGCGCCGCTTTCTTGTCACCTTGCCTCTGTCGTTTCCTGCGACTTGATGGAAGCCACAACAATTGAGAGAAGTAATCTCAATTTTGGGATTAACGACGGAAACATGGCAGACCCCCAAAATGATGGTTCACATGGGGGAAACCAATCATTTGATGGCTACAGCTGTCTTGAGATGATACCTAAATGACTTGATCCATGCCCATTTGCTTTGCCACGAATCGTAACAGTTAGCAATCATAGGTGGTTGGTTCAATTTATGTGATGAATGGGATGATGAATGGTTTCATCATGGTTATTTTCATGGTATATATATATTCATGGTTTGTCATGGGGTATTTAATGGGATACCCTCTGGTAATCAGTCACATGGTTTGCTGGAGAAATTCCCCATTGAGTTTGATGATTTAAACGACGACGAACTTTGGCATGCGCAGCGCCCAATTGCGATGCGCACGTGTGCAGCCGCGCCGCAGCGCAGCTGAAGACCCAAAGGAAAACAACCCAAAACCTTAGCCGACAGGGCCTTAGCCGCCAGGTCCTTAGACAGCAAGGACAAAGGGTGTGAAACGACACCAAAAAGATGAATCAAAAACCAAGAAAAGGGCAGCGCACCCACAATTACCCATTGGGCCCATAAGGCTTACCGTAACGAGTTTCCCAAATTCTTTCTTGTACCTTACCCAGCCAGCGAAGGCTAGCTTCTTTCCTCCACCCATATCTGGCATCAAGTGCATCAACCGGTCTAAGTTTGCTGGGCCTATGAGGGCAACTCCAACAAATATGTTCATGACTCCCAAGTTCAGAACACTCACCCCATATACATCTGTCATCAAATGGAGACCTAGGGTTACGAGCCACAGCAGCAGGAGACAGCAATGCCCCAACCGAGACACTTCTCATGCTAGGAGAAGTTTTGATCAAATTTCTGAGTTTCTTCCAATCGATGGTCAGAATGACATTATCAGCGATATGAGGCAAGTTCAGGAACCTCATGACGTTGCGTCTTGAGAAAAGATTTCCATTGATACAAACGCCAAGCATTCCGTAATCGATGGGCAGCAATATCAAAACCATCATCGAAATTCAAATCAATTTGGGTTTGAGGATGACCCGCAGACCAAACCCAGGACCTAATGAGTTGAACATCAATTTTATCGAACCATCCCATAAGGTTACGAAGCAAGGAACCGCGGCGAGGATGATCACACCACACTCCCCCCCCGAGACGAGCCTTGAAGACCAAGCGCAACAAAGTCACACCAATAACACAGTCAGGATGAAGTAAACCCCCAAACATCATAGCCCTCAAGAACTTGTTGGCAGCCGAAAAAACACCTTGAGAAAAGCGAACGACGGCCCACTGCCCCCAGGAAACAACCACCGTGGGGAGACGACTGACCCAACCATAAGCCATCTTATTAATGGCAAAAGACCTGAGCGCGACCGAGGAATGTTCAAAACCAAGCCTAAGAAGGCCAAGAAGCAGGGAGACACGACGAGCAGCAGCAACACGGTCGGTTTCCTTATTAGACAAACCACGGAAACGAACGGCAGAGCAACACCCCAAAACCACGAAGTCAAAAGAGACGCGGGAAGGAGAATGAAAGACCTCCTGTAATTCACGCAGACCCGACGCAGAAGAGCTAGTAAGCTGAATTTTTTCAGCACTTTCCCTCAACCCAACAGCACGAGAGAAGCACTCCCACGCCTCAACCTGATCAACCAACCCTTGCGCAGAGGAACTGGTAAAACTCCGATCATCCATAAAGATCCGAGCGAGAGAAAGACCAGGAACCAAACGAACACGGGCGAGACCGGACGCCATCCAGGCCGACAAAGCCACCGGACCAAAAGGGCAACCCTGAGGGACGCAAGCAGCGGCCCGCAACGGGACCGGATGAACGTGACCCTGCCAGCAAACATACCTACGTTGGCCACCCCAAACAAGGCGAATGACCTGGCACAATCCCCGGGGCCAACCAGAAGCTTCAAACAAATCGGCGGACGCCTCAGAAGACATAGAGTCATAAGCCTTGGAATAGTCAAGACTAGCAGCAAAACCCTCATCAGCAAGACTACCAAAAACCTCCGAAGCAGCAAGTTGCGAGTCAGAACCAGTACCGGCGACGATATCAGACGGCAAAGACGAAAGCCAAGCCACCACCCCGGGCGTACGCATGTACGAGGAGGCCCACAACCTCCAAAAGGAGGCAAGAATGGTGATGGGACGGATGTTTTCAACACACAATTCACCATTAACAGTTTTCTTGGGGAGATTCACCATCCTAGAGTAATGAAACTGATTAGGAATTTCCTGACGTTGTTCCCATTGCAAAGCCAAATGCCTAAAAACTCCTAAGGCCGATTCAGGAAGGTGTCGAATTTCATCTCCATGCCAGCCGTCAACCGAAGCAGCCCCGCCCGAACATTGCGAGCGAGCCGTCTTGACCAACAGCTGCAAATCCGGAGGATCAAATTGGATCGGCTGAGGAGCGACATGAGCGAATTCTACCAATTGTTGAGAAATGCGACCATGGTTCGAATCATTACTCTCCCAAAAGCGAGTCCAGTACCGATGAATTTCACTAGCGACATCTTTAGGATGATGCACCGTAGAATCAGCACCTTTGACAATATCAACACAACAAGTGTCCCTAGATTTCAACCAGCGACTGACCGCTTTTGGGTCAGTGCGTAATCGTTCTCGCCATTGTTTGAGCACCTCGTTCCGCGTGCTCCGCTCTACTTCATCCAACCGAAGACGAGTGGAGGAAATCTCTTGAGTCAGTTTGGGCAAAGCGCCAGGTCCAACTGGCAAGTCCAACTTTTTGGCCAAACTGTTAACGGAAACCCTGTGCTGATCCCAACCGTCGGGACGAGTGAGCAATCTTTTATACTCATACAAACGAGCCAACCTCTTGCGAATTTTCACCACTTTCATGGACCCTTTGCCCCAAGTGTTTTGCGAACGAGCCCAATTTCGAGATCGCCAGCCAGGAACAACACCTTTGGCATTGCACCTTCTTTGGACACGTTTGACAGATTCGGCGGACAACAAGCCCTGGTGGTCTAAGGAATGCAAGGCGGTCCTGAACATGCGATCAAGAGACAACATAAACAAATCCCAAGATTCCTGCACAGTCAAACCATCAAACGAAGAACCAACAATACCCAAATTATTCCAAGCATCATTCAAGGCCTGCCTCCAAACACTCGTGCAAACTTCATCAGGACGAGAAAAATCGGCAGTAGGCGCAAGAGAACCAATTTGGAGATCAAGCTTAGGTACCTCAATGCGAAAATCCAAAAGCTTGTGATCTCCAATACAAATTTCATGAAAAACCGGAGTAGAACAATGTTGGGGGAAATTACCAATTCCCCAGTCAATTTCACGATTCCCTTTCCATCTCGTGGGCCGTCCAGTATTACAGATTTGACCACCCCAGCCTTCCAAAACATTCTGAATAACAGACCTGTTGGGAATTTCATTGGAATCACCCACAGCGAACCACTTGTGCTGACCGGGATTTAAAGAATTCTGAACAAACATGTTGACCATCACTTCGGCAGCATCAAACTGGGGATCCCCCGCGCACGGAGGCGCATAGAAATTCAAGAACGTTATCCCTTCAATCGTGATGGAACAGACCTGTGAGTGGTTTTGTTCATCAAAAGTTCCAGTTCTGAAGGCTAAACGACGGTCAGCCAACCAGCAGACCCCTCCACGCGGAACGGCCGAGCCAGCTTCGGCTGGGTTTCGCGACACCCCTCCAAAGCATTTGAACCCACGTTTTTTGGCAGCAACACAGAAAGAGTTGAACTCACGGGTGTTCATTCTGATTTCCTGCAACGCAATGACCAAGACACCTTTATGCTGAGTAGCATAATCAAGAAGATTCCAGGCACCAGTGGCAGACTGGCAGTTAACCGACCATAATGAAATAGCATCAAAAGGCCCAGGGTTGGGTTCAATTCCTTCCATGGTCAAATCTCTACGCCAAACTTTAGGCCCTTTGTTTTGAAAAAAACCGTTGGCCTCGCGCCTAGTGATTTTCCAAATCTTGAGAAGTTGAGAACTCACGTCAGCATCTTTGATCTTTTCCCAGAAAGCAATTTGTTGTTGAACCGGAGGAGCCCCAGGACCAGGGCAGTGTCTTTCACTCTTAGCCACACTTTGTCTCACGATTCGACAATGGATACAAGTCAACATCTTGCCCTTCTTTCTAGCCCTAGGAAGGGGCCATTTGTCCCAATCCACATGAAAGGAAACACATTCATGCCCATTCTTGATCAGCGTAGGAGCTCCAGCAGAGATCCACGCTTGAGCGGACTCTAAGGTAATACCCCAAGCCGTACATAAAGCTTGCTGATTCTTCAAATCAATTTTAGGCCACAAAGCAGCAGTAGCCCAATGGGCCTTTTCACGCAACCCTTGACATTGTATCTTCAATCTTTTGCCACCCTGTACCCGAAGCAACACTCGACAAGATTTACAGGTCACAAAAGTCGGATTTTTTTCTTTTTGGGGATTAGGCCACGTTTTCCAGTCAATGTCAACAATAACCACATCATGTCCCCCAGAATTATCAGTACCTTTTCTGGCCGCAAAGGCGCGGAGCTTGTCACCAAGCCCAACTTTTCCATCAGTTCGAGGGAGACCTTGTTTAACCCGAGAAAGTTGTTTTTTTGCTCGCGCCGTATGGATCGCCTGGATTGAGGTGTCTCTACGACGATGCTTAGTGCGATAATGAAAAGTAATACTCTTCTGTTTGGCCGTGCGGTTGAGAGTAGGAAGGCCGCAATTGCAAAAAGCACAACTCCAGTCCCTTTGTTCAGTAGGTAAGTCAGCTCTAGCAAGAACAACCTCAACATATTCCCTCATGTGAGCAGCTTTTCCTTTACGGTATTCATCCGGATGTCTTTTGGCCAGATGGGCGTTACGTTTGCCAGGCAAGGTGTTAGGGCCATCAGCAACCAAAACCAATTGACAAAAAGGGCACGTCCACGTATGTTGAGTTTTACGCATCCTTCCCATT